ATGCCCTGGACGACCGGCTCGGATAGCGGCCGCGCTCAGGGACCACCCCCTGCGCACCCCCTACGGTATCGGGAAATGCCACTCCTGCTAGGCCCTGGACGACTGGCTCGGATAGCGGCCGCGCTCAGGGACCCCCCCCTGCGCACCCACTACGGTGTCGGGAAATGCTACTCCTGCTATGCCCTTGACGACCGGCTCGGATAGCGGCCGCGCTCAGGGACTACCCCCTGCGCACCCCCTACGGTGTCGGGAAATGCCACTCCTGCTATGCCCTGGACGACTGGCTCGGATAAAGGCCGCGCTCAGGGACCACCCCCTGCGCATCCACTACGGTGTCGGGAAATGCCACTCCTGCTAGGCCCTGGACGACCGGCTCGGATAGCGGCCGCGCTCAAGGACCACCTCCTGCGCACCCGCGCACCCCCTACGGTGTCGGGCAATGCCACTCCTGCTATGCCCTGGACGACCGGCTCGGATAGCGATAGCGGCCGCACTCAGGGACCACCCGCTGCGCACCCCCTACGGTGTCGGGAAATGCCACTCCTGCTATGCCCTGGACGACCGGCTCGGATAGCGGCCGCGCTCAGGGACCCCCTGCGCACCCCCTACGGTGTCGGGAAATGCCACTCCTGCTATGCCCTGGACGACCGGCTCGGATAGCGGCCGCGCTCAGGGACCACCCCCTGCGCACCCCTTACGGTGTCGGGAAATGCCACTCCTGCTATGCCCTGGACGACCGGCTCGGATAGCGGCCGCGCTCAGGGACCACCCCCTGCGCATCCCCTACGGTATCGGGAAATGCCTCTCCTGCTATGCCCTGTACGACCGGCTCGGATAGCGGCCGCGCTCAGAGACCACCCCCTGCGCACCCCCTACGGTGTCGGGAAATGCCTCTCCTGCTATGCCCTGGACGACGTGCTCGGATAGCGGCCGCGCTCAGGGACCACCCCTGCGCACCCCCTACGGTGTCGGGAAATGCCACTCCTGCTATGCTGTGCTGAGCTGAGCTGAGCTGTGCTGTGCTGTGCTGAGCTGAGCTGAGCTGTGCTGAGCTGTGCTGTGCTGTGCTGCGCTGTGCTGTGCTGCGGTGCTCTGCTGTGCTGCGCTGCTCTGCTGTGCTGAGCTGTGCTGAGCTGTGCCGAGCTAAGCTGTGCTGTGCTGTGCTGTGCTGAGCTGAGCTGGGCTTGGCTGTGCTGTGCTGTGCTGAGCTGAGCTGAGCTGTGCTGAGCAGTGCTGAGCTGTGCTGTCCTGTGAGGGCCGCGAGGGTGCGGGAGAGGGAGGTGTGGGGGAGGTGTGGGAGGTGTGTGCGGGTGTGAGACGCGGGTGCGACGCGGCAGGGAAGAAAACCAGAACCCCACGAAACATGTGGGGAAATAGTCCAAACATAGTCTGGGGACGCCCCGTCCTCCTCCTCCTCCTCCTCCTCCTCCTCCTCCTCCTCCTCCTCCTCCTCCCCTCTCCTCCCCTCCTCCTCTCCTGTTTCCTGTATTCCCCTCTCCTCTTCTCTCGTGCCGTCGGGCTTGCGATCTGCGCAACCGTCGCCGCTTTCGTGGGCTCCTGGGAGGCCCAGCGGAGGTGGGTCCCACGCGGGTCACCTCGGTACCTCGCCGCCCCCTGGGGGGCTTGCGATCTGTGCAACCGTCGCCACTTTCGTGGGCTCCTGGGAGGCCCAGCGGAGGTGGGTCCCCATCGGATCACCTCGGTACCTCGCCACCCCCTGGGGGGCTTGCGATCTGCGCAACTGTCGCCACTTTCGTGGGCTCCTGGGAGGCCCAGCGGAGGTACGTCCCACGCGGATCACCTCGGTAGCTCGCCGCCCCCTGGGGGTCTTGCGATCTGCGCAACTATCGCCACGTTCGTGGGCTCCTGGGAGGCCCGGCAGAGGTGGGTCCCACGCGGGTCACCTCGGTACCTCGCCGCCCCCTGGGGGGCTTGCGATCTGCGCAACAGTCGCCACTTTCGTGGGCTCCTGGGAGGCCCAGCGGAGGTGGGTCCCACGCGGATCACCTCGGTACCTCGCCGCCCCCTGGGGGGCTTGCGATCTGCGCAGCTTTCGCCACTTTCGTAGGCTCCTGGGAGGCAGGCACGTCCCACGCGGACCACCTCGGGAAGTGCGCTCTGCGCAACTGTCGCCACTTTCGTGGGCTCCTGGGAGGCCCAGCGGAGGTGGGTCCCACGCGGATCACCTCGGTAGCTCGCCGCCCCCTGGGGGGCTTGCGATCTGCGCAACCGTCGCCACTTTCGTGGGCTCCTGGGAGGCCCAGCGGAGGTGGGTCCCACGCGGACCACCTCGGTAGCTCGCCGCCCCCTGGGGGGCTTGTGATCTGCGCAACTGCCGCCACTTTCGTTGGCTCCTGGGAGGCCCAGCGGAGGTGGGTCCCACGCGGATCACTTCGGTAGCTCGCCGCCAGGCCCAGCGGAGGTGGGTCCCACGCGGATCACCTCGGGACCTCGCCACCCCTGGGGGGCTTGCGATCTGCGCAACTGTCGCCACTTTCGTGGGCTCTGTCCCACGCGGATCACCTCGGTACCTCGCCGCCCCCGCCGATCTGCGCAACTGTCGCCACTTTCGGGCTCCTGGGAGGCCCAGCGGAGGTGGGTCCCACGCGGATCACCTCGGTACCTCGCCGCCCCCTGGGGGGCTTGCGATCTGCGCAACTGTCGCCACTTTCGTGGGCTCCTGGGAGGCCCAGCGGAGGTGGGTCCCACGCGGATCACCTCGGTACCTCGCCGCCCCCTGGGGGGCTTGCGATCTGCGCAACTGTCGCCACTTTCGTGGGCTCCTGGGAGGCCCAGCGGAGGTGGGTCCCACGCGGATCACCTCGGTACCTCGCCGCCCCCTGGGGGGCTTGCGATCTGCGCAACTGTCGCCACTTTCGTGGGCTCCTGGGAGGCCCGGGAGGTGGGTCCCACGCGGATCACCTCGGGACCTCGCCGCCCCCTGGGGGGCTTGCGATCTGCGCAACTGTCGTTACTTTCGTGGGCTCCTGGAGGCCCAGCGGAGGTGGGCCATCGGATCACCTCGGTACCTCGCCCCCTGGGGGGCTTGCGATCTGCGCAACTGTCGCCACTTTCGTGGGCTCCTGGGAGGCCCAGCGGAGGTACGTCCCACGCGGATCACCTCGGACCTCGCCGCCCCTGGGGGGCTTGCGATCTGCGCAACTGTCGCCACTTTCGTGGGCTCCTGGGAGGCCCAGCGGAGGTGGGTCCCACGCGGATCACCTCGGTACCTCGCCGCCCCCTGGGGGTCTTGCGATCTGCGCAACTATCGCCACTGTCGTGGGCTCCTGGGAAGCCCGGCAGAGGTGTGTCCCACGCGGATCACCTCGGGACCTCGCCGCCCCCTGGGGGGCTTGCGATCTGCGCAACTGTCGTTACTTTCGTGGGCTCCTGGAGGCCCAGCGGAGGTGGGTCGGAAGTGCGTCATACGCGTTTCTTTCAACGCCCCTGTGTTTCCATTTTGTATAGTTGCCGTTCCTCTTCTTGCTGCGCTCTTCTGAAATCACTGATGATGGGTGCTCTTCTTGCGCACTGCGGGTCCTTCAGAATGCCAGTCAGTATTGAGTGGTCCTGAATATAATCGCCACATGTATAGAAACGGCTGGGTACGTCACAGGGTAATTTCAGTATGTTTGACCCTTTTTGGGGCATTTTTTGTTTTTTATATAACTTTTCGTCGAAGGTCCCCCTGTAGGGGGACAGGCCCCCCTTCCTCCCAATGCCGAAACGCAAAGTGAGAGAACGCTCACCTCAGGGGCGGGCGTTGCCTCCCGCGGGCACGTGGAGCCCGCGGCCGCCCCGGCTCGAGGTGTGCAGGGCGAGGGGCTGGTTGCCGGAAGGCCCTCCCAGAGATCCAGGAGGTCTTTCGGGTGCTGCTAGAAGTACCCCTGGCCCAAGGTACCCCCAGGATTCTCGGGGTGGCCCCGACGGCCTCCAGGGGACCCTTCACGAAGCCCGGAGGGTCCCAGAGGCTCCAAAATGGAGCGGAAAGCTAGGGGCACCTTGGGCCAGGGGCACCTCTGCAACACCCGAGTCTTCGTCGGAAGGACCAAGGAGGATTAAGCCCAATTGGAGGGCTGTTGCGCCGGAGTGGGCTTCGAGAGTCCTCTGCGTGGATCAGAAAAGAAGCCCGGCGAAGGCTGGCAAACCTGTGGCTGCTACAGCGGAGTTCCAGGAAATTGTTCGTTTCTTCCGGGAGACAGCTCTTGTATTATTTCGCGCGCTGAGTTTTATTCCGCGGACGTGTTTGCTTGTTTCTTCCAGGAAGACCGATTTAGCAGCCGCGGATTTGCCAGCCCTCGCCCAGCTTCCGAATGGAGAGCAGTGGTGCGTTTCAGAAGCTCTACAAACCTAAACCTGGCACTGTCAACAAAGACTGCTGATTCCAACTCCTCCCGATGATCCCCCCGCGGCTCCGCGCGTCACATCCCACCACCCCGCCGGTCGACTTCTGAGGGGGGGCAGGGAGGGAAGGAGGGGGGCGAGGGGGGGAGAGGAGAGGGGGGGGGGACATCACACAGCTCTGCCGTGCAGAGCTCGGTGTGATGATTTTCTCCCTGTCTGGCGCCTACAGCGCCCGCTCCAGTAAAAAAACTGCGCACGTGGAGCGTCTGGTCGGGCCCGCCGACAGAACTATCGGCGTTCACGTGCTCGAGCGTTTCCATCTGCGGAGCCGGGCGCCCTGGCGCGAACGGCCGAACGACCCCTGCAGCGGGACACTTTGGCAACAACGGCTGGCCGCCGCAAAAATCCTCGAAACAACGCTGGCCGCGCAGAGGCGCCCCGGCAGACGCGACGACGGCCCGCAGACAAGAACCCTCACGGGTTCCACCTGCGGGTCGCCGGTGGCGCCGGCCCGAGGTCTCGCACTCCGCGGAAACCGCACCGCTCGCCCGCCTGGCTGCCCGGAGCTGCTCAACCTGCGGCCTCGCCCGCGCGGCGCGGGGCGCCCCTGCCGCCCCCTCCGCCGACAGCGCAAGCCTCAGGTCGGGCATGTCCTCCTACAGGCGGCCTGTGGAGGAAACACGAGACAGAGCTGAAACGTGCTCCACAAAACGCCCAGAGCTCGTGCCCAGATTGTTCTTTCTTCTTGGCCTCGATCAGAACAACTGTGCTGGAATGTACCTCCTGTGCACCGGGACATGCCCGACGTGACGCAGGCCTCCTCGGGCGTTGCCGTGCGGGGCACGGCGGGACGGCCTCCTCTCGCGGAAGTGGATGGGCCACCCATCACGCCCGCCGCCCGACGAGTTGGGCGGCCCGGAAAAACGCCAGAGCGGCGAGGCGCGAAGCCCGAGGCGCGCAGGCATGGGGTGCTGTGGTGCTCTTCAAGTGTCACGCTGCTCCCATCGTGCTTCGGGTTTCTTAGTAAGCGTGGGAGGGTACCCTTCGCCTCGCCATCGTCGTCTCGTCGTCCTCGCCTCGCCTCGCCTCGTCGTCCCTTACGGGGGTCAACCTCGCCTCGCCGTCGCGCCGCGACGGGGGTCGGAGCGCCTTCGGCGCGCGGTGGCTGCCCGCGACGGGGGTCGATGTGGGGCTGTCGGCGGGGGTGACGCTTCCCCGACGCTCATTAAGAAACTCGGAGTACTTAAGAATCACATCCCAGAAATTCGCCGGCCCAACGGGCCAGAGGCGTGCTAAGATCTCCTGTGACAGGTTAACAATATTTCTAGTTCGCGCGCGCGGGGCGGCCCCGGGGGGGTCCCCCGGCGAAAAGTACCCCGACCGCAGCCCGAGCAGGTCTACTCAGAGATGGTGTTCCTCTTGGGTGTGGCCTCTCAGGTCCCCCAAAGCGCGCCAAAGGGGGCCCCAAGAGGCCCCCAAGGCTGCCCAAGAGGCCCCCGAGACGCCCAAGAGCGCTCCAAGACGCAGATGATGACCCCAAGACGAATCATCAATTTCACGATCGTTTTGGACGGATTTTGGCCTTGTCGCCTTTTCGGCCATCTGATGCTCCAAGACGGCCCAAGAGGCCCCCAAGAGCGCCCCAAGACGAGCCAAGAGGCTTCCAAGAGGGCCCCAAGAGGGCCCAAAAGGGCCCCGAGACGGCCCAAGAGGCGCCCAAGACGGCCCAAGACGGCCCCAAGACGGCTCCAAGAGGGGCCCAAGAGGGGGACCACGAAACGAAAACTCTGACCTTCTGCCCCAAGAGGGCCCCAAGAGGCCATGAGAGGCCCCCAAGAGGCCCCAAGATGCCGCCAAGAGGCCCCCAAGAGGCCCCAGGAGGCCCTCAGGAAGCCCAAAAGAGGCCCCGAGAGGCCCCAGAAGGCTTCACAAATGCCTCCCAGGCGCCCCCGAACGGCTTCTCAAACGACCCCAAGAGGCCTCCCAAAGAAGCATCTTGACGACCGTTTGGCCCCAAAAGCATCACAGGATGCCAACGAGAGGCTTCCTCCTCCGTCCCTTCCTCTTCCTCCTCCTCCTACTTATCTTCATCCTCCTCCTCTCCTTCTCATCCTCTCCTCCTCCTCCCCTCCCCTTCCCCATCCTCATCTTCCCCCTCCTCGGCGGCACCACAATGGCCCCGGGCCCACGGCGAAGCAGTAGCGATCATGCAACATGGGCCGGCGGAATGAACGAAACGATTGAATCCGCCCGCCCACCGGGCTGAGGGGCGTGTGAGATTTAATTACAAAGCTTTAGCCCCCCCCCATCTTCCCCCCCCAGAGGCCTCCGCCATTCCGCCGCCCGGCTGCGGCAATGCCCTTTTTCGGTTTCCAAAACGGCTCCACGACGGCGTCCAAGACAAGCTCGATCTTGGCATCGTTCTGAAGACGCTGCCAGGGCGCCTGTGGGCTCCATTTCGGCCCCGTCGGGGCCCCTTCTTGGCCTCCAATATCCGCGCCTCTTTGGCTCATTCTCGCCGACACGTGGGGATGTCAAAAAAATAGCAAATACTGTGGTTTTGGCCTGATTTCGGCTTCCCCGGGGCTGTCCAGGACGCTGCTTACAGTTGACTTCCGGGCTCGCGTGCGTCATGTTTCATCACTCCCTTTTGTTCGCCGTTTTTGGGCGCGCTCAGGGGTCCATTTTGGACGCTGCGGGGCCCATGTTGGGCCGCAAAACGGACCCCAAACCAGGTCAGACCCCGCGCGGTTTTTACTGCAAGACGGACGCGGTTGCGACCCAACGCGGAAGTGCTGTCGCTTGAGCCGCCCTGGGCTTCCCCCAGACCGCCTCGGGGCCTTCTTAGCCTCTTTTTGGGCCCTTTTCGGGTTCCTCTTCGGCCCTTCTTGGCGCCTTGCCCGCCGGATCACCGCCAGGGCAACCGTCGGGGCAACCAACCGCTCGGGCAACCGCCGAGACTAGCAACGGGAAAATAATCCGGGCAACCGTCGGGACAAGCACCCAGACATCTACCACGGCACACCTCGGGCCAGACATCTGGTCAGCCATTGGAGAACCCACTCCAAGAGCCACCTTCCCTGCCATCGGACCAATCGACTGCGCAAGCGCGACAAAACCACGAGACTGCCACGCCACTGTATGACACAAGCCCACCACGGGAGCATGCCGCCTCCCCTACCATCGGATCAGTCGACTGCACCAGGGCGACAGAACTAGGGGAATGCCACGCCACCGCATGACACCAGCCCACCACGGGAGCATGCCGCCACTGACACCTGCTGACGCCCGCACACCGACACAAAACGCTGCGCGCCCACTCACGTCTCTCAGACATCGAGCGCGCGTGACACCCGACACAGAGGAGCCCCAAGTGGTCAACGACGGAGCTTCAGCAGCACCCCGACAGGCCCCCCAGAGAGCAACGTCAACAGCAGAAGCACCACCAGCAGCGGCAGCACCACCACTGCGGCCAGCACCAGCAGCAGCAGCACCACCACCACTGACAACAACAGCAGCGGCACCACAAGCAGCAGCAGCAAGAACACCGGCACCATCAGCACAAGCGCCAGCAGCGCCAGCAGCAGCAGCTTAAGTAGGACCAACAGCAGCAGCGGCACCCGCACTGCACCGTACCACCAGCAGGAGCGACAACAGCAACATCAGCAGCAACACCAGCCGCAGCACCACAACCACTAACAGTAGCAAGTACGACAAACCTAATGTCGAACAGCCACGAGGCATGCCTGAGCATAGTAGACGATAACATAGGAAGAGAGAACGCGGGACAAAAACAACAAAACACACGACTTGTATGAATTCCTGCCTATGTTTATCCTGTCATGGAGCCGTCTTCGCCTCGTCCGGCGAGACCTGGAATGGGCGGGCGGTGAACGCGAAGCGTCCTGAATAATTTCGAGAACCCAGAGAGATATCGAGATATCGAAACCGTGTCGGACGAATATCGCCTCCCAGATCCTCACACGTGAAAGCCCTCCAGTTTCGGTACTTTCTTGGTGTTCGAAATTCTTGCTGGTGTTCAAGGCAGAAGTAGCTTGGAACATCCTAATTCCAGTGGTCCAGAATCCCTCGTTCCTGGCGTTCCCTCCTGGTTCACTCTCCCACCGCGGCTCCGGGAGTCACAGCCCGCCACCCCGCCGATCGATGCTCGCCATCAAGGAAGGTCCGTCGGATGTATGGATGTGCAGTGGAACCGAGCTGTTGGCCTCCACAACATCGTCGCTCTCGCCAAGACTCCGCCTCTCGAGCTCTTCAGCGGCAGGTGGTGACAATACTGCTGAAACCGACTCCTCCCGTTCATCTCGTCGCGGCAGCGGGAATCAAATCCCAGAGCCCGTGCCCGCCATCAGAGAAGGACGGCCGGACATTACGGATGTGATGCGGAACTGCCTGCGTCAAAAGACAAACTGTGCTGCTGGCCTCCATGGCAGCGTCGCTCTCACCAAGGCTCCGCCCCAGCAAAAAAGGCGACGTGCTGCCCTAATCGCAGACCAGGTGGCGGGATCATACTTGTGGTAACCACAGCATCGAAGGTCTCTAAGAAGTCCAACCAACTAGTCTACCAGCCGAAGATCCATGATGATGATGATGAACAGACGTGAGACTCTGGAGATATGGAAAATCCTCAGCTCGGAGAACGAGAAAAATGGGGGAGGCAGGGAGGGAGGGGGGAACAGGAGGGACAGGAGAGGACGCGGAGACATCACACCTTCACCGTGCAATGCAGCACTGCTTGTCTCCCTGTCTGGCGATTGCAGGGACCAGGACCATGTGTTGCGCGAGCTTGCGGGCAATCCCAAGTCCTGCTGCGGACAGCAGCCAAAAAGAAAACCCATCAAGGGGTAAGAGCATGCTCATAACCTATAATTTCATTAAAGTCGACGAGGGGGCGATGCCCTGGCCTGACAAACCATAAACTAGCCAACTCGTCTGGCTTTCGGGAACGGGAAACATCTCGATCGACCATTGGTTATGCTATTGGAGCCTCACGCAATTTCGCAGTTACCGAAAGCCAATCATACCCACTTCGGGCGCGCGGGCTTGCAAACATAGTCAACAACTAATCACAAACTAATCGTCCCCAGACTACCTCTTTTTTTGTTTGACTGTGTTGGCATACTCCTCCTGCGGAGGGACAGGCCCGACGCAAATTGGCGGCGTGCATAAGGGGGTGGGGGGAGGGGGGAAGGCTTCTCAGAAGGAGGCTGCTCCTTGGAAGGCGCCAGCCTTGCATCTCTAACGAAGGCCCGCGCCTTCTGAGAAACAGAGGCGCTTCTAGGAAGCCTTCCCCCCTCCCCCCTCCCCCCCCTCTGCGCGTGGCCGAGCGAAGCTGCTCCTCGGCTCCCCCCTAAAACACGTCGCACGGGCGCCTGCTGCCCCTCGCCGACAGCGACCTCCCGGCGCTGGTGGGGTAGGTCTGGGCCCTCGCGGCACGGGCGTGCGGGCGCGTGGGCCGCCCCGCCTGCTCGCTGCCGAGCTGGCTCGGCCCCGCGCGGCACGGGGACCTGGGGCGCGGCCTGATCGACCCCTGGCAAACCATCCCCTTCCGTCAGGGCTGGAGCGAAACGTTGCTTTTCGTTTCGCCTTCTCGTTTCGTTGTTCGCTTTGCCCTAGTTGCCTGCTCTCCTGCACCTTCCCGCCAAGAGCGAAAAACAGAACACAGCCGAAGTCCAGCAAAACAACGTTCAGGCCCAGTCCTCCCTACCGTGACGTCATCCTCGCCTTCCGAGCTACCCTCCAGCCGCATACACACGCCTCTCGGGGCGAGGCGAGGAGGACGTCACGGAAGGGGCTGGTTTGCCAAGGGTCCGTTAGGCCGCTCCTGAGGACCTCGCGCGGTCGGCGAGGTCGGGCGGCGTGCCCTCTGGCCGGACGTGCTGGCTGGTGGGACGGGCGAGTCCCGGCAACGTGGGGGGCCGCTCGTCCTCGCCGGCGATCCCGCTGGTCCAATGGGGCCCCATGCCCGCACTGGAGGCCCTCGGGGAATCCTGGAAAACATCGGATTTTGACTCGCTGTCGCTCGTGCGGTCGCTCATTGCCAAACTGCTGACCAACTCCGTGCTGGGCAGCAAATCGGGCGGCATGAACTTGTACGCACCGTACCAGCCGGACGTGCTGTTGCCAGGGCGAGGCTTCTCCGTCTCGGGAAGGCGGCTGAACGTCAATGAAGCTGGAGGCTCGGGACGACGAAGACCAAGGGGCCTGCGGATCCTGCCAGCGGGGGGTTCGCCAAGCGGCTGGCGCGGCACGGAGTGGTGGAGCCACCTGCCCGCGCTGGGGCGCCCGCGGGTCATCCTGGGAGCCGAGGGTTGCCTCGGCGCAGGAACCACGCTGGATAGCTCTGCCCAAGCTGCCGCCGGCCTGGGCCTTGGGAACTCTCCGCCGACGGCCGGGAGACTGACGCCCGCGAGGCTCGTCATCTTTTCGGGTCGGGTGTGTATCGCAGGGTGCCTACTTGGGCCAAAATACGGCTTGAGCTATAAAATGGCGATGGGCCGTCTTGGGGCCTTGGGGCGATCTTGGGGGCCTCTGAGGTCGTCAGGGACGGTACGAAGACCACCCAAAACGACGATGCTAGAACCGTACGTTTTACGAAGGGAGCGGGACGATTTGTGCTTGTCGGGTCCCTCTTGGGGGGTCCTTCGGGCGTCTTAGACGCGTGTGGTTCTTCAGGCGTCTCGGACGCGCGTGGGGCCGTTCGAGACGCCTCGAGAGCCGTCGGACACCCCGGAAGGCCGTCTCGGGGGTGGCTCGCGAGTGTCTCGTGGCGACGTGGCGCCCGTCGGCTCGCTCTGCGGGGAGCCTCTGGGGACCCCCGGGAAGTGCGGGCCCCGCCCCCCGGGCCCCCCGCCCCTGGGGCGCCCCGCGCTTTGGGGGGCTCACGCAGTTCAGCCGGGCGCCCGCCCGTGGGCGCCACGTGAACGCCCCGCGCTGGGTGGGCGTGCCAGTGTTTTTCGCGCTGGCGCCCGCCCGTAACCTGTTCGTGGGCGTCCTGCGCTGTTGGGGGCACGCCAGGGTTTCACCCGGTGCCCGCCCGTGGGCGCCTCGTGGGCGCCCCGGAAGCATACGCTGCGACACGCAGAATCTCTTTCCCCCCCTCCCTAACCCAGATGAGTCGACATTTTCTTGGATCATCGTTCATGTCCCAGGTGAACTCATACCATCGTAGCCACGCACCAATTCATCTCAACATACCTTTTGCAATCACCCCTTGCACAACAAATCATAATGTCCACGCGCGGGTGGACATGTCGAAATCATACCAAACACACTCGTTCAGCACGCGTTCCACAACATACAAACAACAAACAATATTGGTTTGCCCGCGCACACTTGCCCACACTAGGAAGAAACCCGTATGATGTTACCAATATCGTCCAGAAGCCGCGTTCTCATCTCACCATGCGGCGCATCCGAATTAATCTACCACGCGCCCAGTGCACGAATCCGTATCGTACGATACCATACGGGCCAAGCGCGCGCCGCCACGCGCGCGTGTTTTAGCATGTTTTTTTGTTTCCATATTTTTTGGTTTGCGAAGAATTTCAATATGGATCTCTTCAGGCACAAATGCAACAACAAATGCTTTCAAGAGGAAGCCTGCCAAATTCCTTCTTCGCCATCCCCCCATCAACGCCACCGCATCACTGCTGTCATCGTCATCGCCCATCGCCGCCGGCATCATCAGGGAGTCGCCTTCATCCCCGACACATGGAACAACTCGTCGTCACCGTCGACACCAACATCGGCACCGTCATTGGCCTTGCCGTCGTCACCGTCCTCATCGCCAGATACGTCATTACTGTTATCCTGGTTGCCGCGTTTCTGTCGGCGTCATTGCGAAACCGTGCCCGAGCCACCGACCCGAGCTAGAATGCCCGCGCGCCAGCGCGGTTTGATGCGTGCTGAGAAGTCCCCATCGGCAAATGTCATCGAAGCCACATCAGTTGCGCCAAGACTGCTCCTCGCACGAAGGTTCGCGCGCCAGCGCGGCTGCAGAGATGCGCCAGCCGATGCCCAGTGTTCGTAACAATCACGACTGCTTGGGTTTTGCAAGACAAGATGCTGGTGGGCGGGAGGGATGTTTGCGCGAACGGTTGGGTTAACAACTCTGTATACACTTGGTTCGCTTTCCCTTTTTATAAAAAACTCCCCCCTGGATAAACTCTTCCCGTGCTGCAACTTACACACGATTGTGCCCCATCGTCCATCCGAAAGTTGAATTCGCACCATCCCAGACAAGCCAGTATCGCTTCCCTGACATCCTCTGCAACAGATTCTGCGCGCGCAATCGCTTACCCAAAATCAGATGTTTCCGAACATCCCTTGCCATGCAACACGTGATACGAAGTGCGCGCGCGCACGTCGTCGCGCGCGCATGCCGAAGTCCGTCAAAAACGCTGGGCCGCGTAAGGGTCTCAACATCGAGTGCCCAAGGAACATATCAACCACGTAGGGTTTCGCAACACGGATTGTCACACAAACTTTGCGCGCGCAAAAACACTGAAAACAAGCGGTTTCGCAACATCAATTTTCAACATGCGTGCGCTCGCGCTCTTGCGACTTCTTGAGACAACCCTGGTTTTTCAACATGTTCATGCATTTCTGCCAAACGTGCCTCTGGCGCCGCATGCCGGAATCATTCGCGCGCCCTTGCGCGCGTGCTGGGGTGCACGGCCCGTGCCGAATCATACCTCGCGGGCAACTCTCGAGCGTCGGCCGCGCGCGCATGTCGAACTCTTTCCAAGATCTTCATCGCCGGCGCGAAGGCGCCGTCATCGTCGTCGGCATGATAAGCGCCCGCGCCGTCGCTGGCCGCGCCGTCGTCGCTGTCAGCATCGCCGCCAGCATCGCTGCTGCAATCGCCGCGTCTACAATTGTCGACGTTGCCGCGGTACCGCGCCCGCCCAAGTCGCCGACTCGCACTGAAGTGCCCGCTGGCATGCGCCCAGCGGCCCGCGCCACCACGGCTGCGTCGGTCGCGCCAAACCAGCCGACCGCTGCGCGCGCGCACGCGCGGGCTGTCGCGACCGCGGAGATGCAAGAGTCAGCGCCAAGCACTCATCGCAATCGCCGCCGCATGGGGTTTGCAAACCAAGTTGCGGGTGGGCGGGCGGGCGGAATGTTTGCGCGAGCGCTGGAGCGGTCAATTTCAAACGGAGCATTTGGTGATTTGCACCACATAACCTGCGCCGCATAGCCAGCATAACATGTCTTGCACCGCGCAGCTTGCACCGCGCACCTAGCACCAGGTAGATTGCGCAACGACGAGCGCACCACAAAGCTGCTTGCGCCGCACAGCTTGCGCCGAGTAGCACGCGCATCGCTTGCGCCGCGCAGATTGCACCGCGTGGCTCTCATCGCGCATGTTCCCGTCAGGAAACGTGAATCCTCGCCCCGCTCCCGCGGTTGCGTCTCGTCGCCCGATCCACGCGAGCCCGGCGCGTGCCGGCGCCAGGCTGGGCACTGACCCCCATTCGTCCGTATCGGGTGGCGCTTTACGCGCGAGCTTGTTCACCTCGAGCGATCATTTTCAATTCCCCTTTGCCGCGAGATATGACGACGCCCCCGCGCGCGCGCCGCAATCAACCAAACGCACTCGGTCAGCATGGCGCGTGGGTTTGGCACAATCTACCAGATCTCCAGCCCGCGCGAATGCGCTGACACCGTGGGAAACAATCTCGCGCATTCTCATCTCGCCGCGCGGTGCATCTGCGTTGGTCTAGCATGCGCCCAATAGACACATCCGCATTGAACAGTCCGCATCCGTGAGCAAAATCCCGCCCGCACCACAGGCGCGCCATGCAAAATGTAATTTTTGCGAACCGCATGAACAACCGCGCGTTTAGCAACGGCACGCTCGCGAATTTCGTCGCGCGCAAGTCCTAACCGTAACGCCGCCAACGCTTTCGCACCGCCGCCGTCGCCATCGCATCGCCAATCGCCGCCAGTGTCGCCACCATTAGGTCACTTGCACCGCCTGCGCATGGACATCATCATCGCCATTGTCGCTACCAACGCCAGCGCCAGCATTGACCCTGCCGTCGCCGTCGTCCTCATCGCCGCCACCGCCGCTCCGACCATCATCGTCGCCGCCGTTTTCGGCGCCGCGCTCGCCCAGATCACCGACCTGCGCCGGAAAGCCCGCGCGACGGCGCTGCCTCTGGCGCGCGCTGGGGGCGCGCATCGGTGCGCGCCGCCGCCGCCGTGCTATTCGCGATGAACCAGCTGGTCGCACTGCGCGCAAGCGCGCAAACGCGGTCGCAAACTTGCGCGAACCAATTTCAATCAGAAACGGAAGTCGCGGCCGCGCCGCCACTGCCGGCGCCGCGATGCCGCGCCCGCAGGGGCGTCCGCGCCGCGCCATGGCGCCCGTGCGCCGGCGCCGCCACGGCGACGCGGGATTCCCGTCGGTTAGCGCCATCGCGGCCGCGCGAACTGCGCGGGGCCAGCTGGTCGCCCTGCGCGCGCGCGCGCCAGCGCGGTCGCGCAAACGCGCTGGCATGTGCCAAGCGGCATCCCCAATCGTGGCCGCATGGGTGTCGCCAGACAAGTTGCGGGTGGGAATGTGGGGCGATGGCGCGAGCATTGGGTCGACGGCTTCAACGAGATGGGATGCGCCGCGTGCGTTGCACCACCTAGCCTACGCAACGTAACTTGCGCCCAGCAGATTGCGCCGCGTATCTTGCACCGAGCGATTGCGCCACATAGCGTCCACATCCATGTGTATGCACGTCCTGTTTGTGGTCCGCGCTGGGCAACGTGTTCTTATGTGTTTCCTTGAGCGTGAATCATAACTTCTGCCATTTTCATTGTGCAACTGTAGCAACCAACGTGGGTCTCAAACCAAATGTTTCTAGGAACGCATGGTCTGCGATCCAGGTGGCGCAGCCTAGACCGTGCACTCATTTGCGCGAAGAGTATATATACATGTATATATATATATATATATATATATGTGTGTGCATGCATGTCTGTACATATATAGTTATATGTGTATTTGTGTGTATATCTATATTAAATATATGTAGATATGCGAGGTGCATCCTAAGTGGCGCACTGAATTTTCGCAAAATTAAGGATTGCAGCTCCATTGCTCGTGCGGGTCGCCCCACCCACCCACCCGTAACTTGGTCTGCAAAAGCCACGCGGCGGAAATTGCGAGGAATGCTTGACGTTGGCTGGCGCGCCCCTGCGGCCGCGCCGTCCCGCGCGCGCTCGTGCGCGGCGGCCAGTTTTTCTGGCGCGACTGACGCGGCCGCAGTTTCGCTAACCTTTGGGCACTACTCAGCGGGGACGTCAGTGCGAATGGGTCACTTGGGCGGGCGTGGTATCATGGCGACGTCGACAACAATAGATTGAGGCAGTAGCGATAATGGTGACGATGAAAAAGATGACGACGGCCAGGCCTGTCACGGCG